ACCTGTCTCTTATACACATCTAGATGTGTATAAGTGACAGGTGGTCCATCAGGCCACAAAAACGAACGAAAAAAAAAAAAAAAAAAAAAAAGAGAGAGAGAGATGGTGGTTGCCACTGGTTGGACCCTGCTTCACATTCCCTGGGACTCTTTCGCAATTGACTTGCCACTATCGATCGGGCCACAGAAAGAAAGGAGCAAGACTTTTCACGTTCCCTCTGAAGCTGCTTTCCGGCAACGAATTCAATCCTCTATCTAGTATTTACTATTTACTGATTAGCAAAAAAAAAGGGTTCAAAAACCAATTAAAAGAAGTTAAAAGAACCCCTCCCAGAAGTGTGTTGAGTGTTGAAGTTTAACCAGTGAGCAGCAGCACCCATGAATAAAAAAAAACAGCACGCCCATTGTCGACAGCAGCAGCAGGCCAACAGAAGTGAGGAATCCAGTGCAATCCACCATTGCTGATCATGCTGTTGTATGTGTGTGTTTTCCTTTGCAGGCTTTGTCGTCAGCTTATCAGCCGATTGGAGCTATTCTTATCAGTCAGGAGATGGCAGAGGTGATAAATGCGCACAGTGACCACATCGGTGAGTTCGCGGAGACTGCAGTCCATATTGGGATTGCAAAGAAATCAGTTTCAAAAAATTCAAAATTCAAAATTCAAATCTTCACAGACATGGTCCAGGGCGGTAGCTTTTTGGTCAAAGTCGATAATCGGGGGGGTCGAAAATCACGTTTCCTACCCAAGAAGGGTCTAAAAAAACTTCAAAATTTTATAAAAAAGGCATTTGGTAAACAGGTGCAGGCAAGGTGCACCCCCAGAAAAAGTGGTAGTTAGGAAAATCAGGAGCCAGGTCCAACTGGGGATCCTTCGGCCATACAAATGGAAGGAGGTGTGAGTGGGTACACTGTGTATTTTGAGTTGTCGGGGGAAATAGGAACGAGGAACGGGACTGATGCCCCTACCTCCCATTCTTTGATACTTGGGCTTAATCTATAAGTCCTTCGGCTTTCCAATGCTCCGAAGTGTTTGGACTCCGGAGCTATGGAGGAGGCAAGCGGAAACCAACAGGCACATTCAAGGGCCAATCCATGACAAAAGAAAGAAATGCCGCTGAATCCGTTAAAATTGGAACGATAACACAGAAGATTAACATGGCCCCCCTGCGCAAGGATGACATTCATAAATAGAGAAATGGTCCAAATTGGCAAATTGGCAAATTTCTATTTTAGTATTTTCCCAAAAAAAACAAAAAAGAGAGAGAAATGTTGACAAACCTGCTTCCAGCCAGCATGTTCCCTTGTTGGAGGCTTGAGCACGGATGTGGCTGCTACTGGGTTCCCCGTAATACTAAAATAATGACAATAAAACAGGCCTGAAAGGCCGTCCTGTCCAGATTCGACAGGTATTAATTGAATTGGTTGGGCTTAAATGAATTACCCTTTGAAAAAAAAAAAAAAAAAAAAATTCTGATCACCAAAAATTCAACGATGGACACACTGTTGAAACTTGAAAGAGTTGAAAGTTTGAAACCAACAGCAACAGGATTTTAGTTTTCATAGTTGTCATTTTCATATGATTTATATATATATATATTTTGTCCACCTTTTGAGTTTTGCTGCTGATCCCTTTTCGAACACGTTCAAGCGCAAGCAGACACGGCGAACGAGGGGATTTATTCGCGGGTAGACTTTGACTTTGACTTTGACCAGCTACAGCTTGAGCAGAGGAGTAGAAGGGCTGTGTGATGAGTGAGGTGTTGCCACGCCCATCTGGTGATATGTAGTGGATCTGTGAAATGAAATCTAACGCTCCGACTACGTTGCACAAATTGAGTATCACATACTATCACTCACAACAGGATGTGGTATTGGAAGAGAATGCGCCGTCAATGCGGTAATGAAGAAAGACATTGAAGCCCTCAAGAAGAGGGGAGAAAGGATAAAAGGAACCGGAAGGGGCAAGCCAAAGAAATCGGTGGGGGATGGATGCCTTCAATCAAAGAAACCTTTGTGCCGAACCTGAAGTCTGGATGCCTTCAAATCAAAGAAACCTTTGTGCCGAACCTGAAGTCTTCCCAGGACCCACAGTCGAAGAAAGATCCCTACCTTCTGCACCCGAATACAATGTACGGTCATTTTACCTGTTGTATTACTGAAGATACCCCAAATACAGCTATAATGACCGTACGACGTACGTTGTATTTGGGGGAAGAAGGTGGTCTCGGGTCCAGTCCTCCATTGCCGTCCACGAGCAAGCAACAGGGAAGCAAATTCTTCTTCACAGACAGTCTGCGTCCAACCGTAGTACGATGAAAGTCGTATGCTACGTTCGGGGGGGAAGTAATTGCCAATCGAAAGAAGAGGGAAAAGCTTAAAGATGAAGATGCCTTCTACCTACAATGGGGAAAAAGGGGAGAGAATTGACTTCTCTGGATTGCCTGAATAGTAAAACAGACCTATTGCTCCGTAACACCTGTCCCGGCAGAGAGCGGAGTGGCAGTGGCACTACTACTTGTTCCTTGGTGAAGATGCCGATGCCTGGGTGCTGGATGCGGCAAATGCCGCTGAACATGTTGGAGAATGGACAGAGAAACAGAATATGAAGGACTTCCTTAAGAAACTGAAAGGCTGTTTCTTAGAGAAGACCGGCGCAGGCAAGGCCTTTGATTTCTCATTGACGACAACCTGTTGGAACAATGCTATCCAGTTTGCCTATTGGAACAAGGCTATCCACCGCTTTTAATCCTGTTGCCTATTAGTTCATGCCACCGATTTACGTGGATGCTTTTGAGAGCTGATACCGTCTATACTATAGGTCAAACCTGTCGAACGCCTCGGACTTTTGTCGATGCTTTGTCCAGAGGAGCAGCGAAGGAGGAAGGTTTTGAAATGAGAGGGGGAGAGGAAGAGTGTCGATGTGGACGAGGAAAATGATCACAATAGTGAGACACCAAGCAAGAGAATGACAATGAGCAGGAGAAGGAAGATGTGGAGAAGGTGGGGTGAAGGACGACAAGGAAGATGAGGAAGGGGAGGAGAAAGATGTAGAGGAGCGCGAAGGGAGATCGGGAACAGCGCTGGCAGATACCTACCTACGGAGATGCTTTGCGGTGTGGAGAGCGACGGCAGCACCTGAGGGCGATGGGGGTGTGCACATTGAGCAGGACAGCGGCAGACAAGCTATAAGGGGAGCGGCATCAGGGGAGGTGAAGGTTGAAGGTGACGTCAAAAGATAATGCGGCTTCAAATCATGTTCCACTGTGTTCAAACTTGGAAATGGTGTAGCAAGGCCTGGCTCTGTCATAAACCCATGCATGCGCAAAGCTGCCACAAGCTCCTCACAACACTTCTGTCGCGGAGACAAACTTTTAATGAAACAACAAAAGCAAGTGCTGCTGAGCATGGACCGGAAGTGAATTTTCACTCGTCGGCACTTCCCTTTGTCCCTCTCAGAGACGCGTGGTACCTACCATCCCTTCCTCCCTTCGGGAAAAAGAATATATATATATGTATATACATGGCCTGATTTTTTGCTTTTTGTGCCACACAATTGCAGTACAGCGCGCTTCATTCGAGCATGATCTGCACAACAGCTATGGCTCAGTTATGACAACTCTCCATAGGAACGCTGTCTGTGTCCGTCCCCTTCGTGTGACCTGAGCAGACACACAGCGACCAGAGTGGCTCCACAGATGCATAATAAATTGATAATCAGCTTGTCTCCTGCCCATGCTTGTGTCCCCACGATTCTTGATTGGGTAACATCAAACCAATTCATATTAAATTAATAATCAGCAAGTCGGCGATTGCGACCCTGGGTCTCTTCAATGGTGGAGCAGTGTGGAGCAGTATGAGCAGCAGCATATAAGATAACCACATCGAAGGAGAGGGGAAAGGGATGTTTATTAATGAACTTCTTTCTTTCGTGGACCTTCTTTTTTTTTTTTTTTTTTTTTCCTGGACTTAAAATCAAGGCTACCTTTGTTTGGCTTTTATTTGTTGAACAAAAAAAGCGAAGAAAATGTTACGTTCTGATTTGGTGGCCCGATTCCCAATTGGCTGCTCTTTTTTTTTTTTTTTCTGTTTTGTTGTTGTTAATTGTTTATGTCTGCGCACTCTACTTATGTTGGTTGGTTGGTGCAACGCTGTTTGCTTCTTTAGGTACCTTTGCCCATGGATTCACATACTCTGGACACCCTGTGGCATGCGCTGTTGCGCTGGAAACCCTCAAGATCTACAAGTAATGCTTCTTGCCTCTTCCTTCCTATCGTCGAAAATTCTCAAAACAGATTGTAATGAACCCAACCTCAGAAGTTCACAATCAAATTGCACGCAAACTCACAAGGGGCACAAATCAATAATAACAACCGAATTGAGACAGCAATGAACAACAAGGCTGTGCGAAGAAGAAGACCAAAAGTGTCAAAATATATAATCTTTAAAATATGCACAATGTGTGCAATGTTCAATTTTCTTCCGCCTCCCTCAGGATTCCTTCCTTGCCACATGGACCCAGAACCGCAAGGTTCTGTTTAAACCACCACGACCTTTCCTGCTGTTGGGAAAACGGGAAAATATCCTACCCCTGAAAAAGCGGGGGCTGGGCCACGGCCGCCGTTGATAAATCTCATTGGCGGCCATCGTTTCGGTTCGGCCTCCTAAAAGATAGGAGGCCCACCAACGCCGACATGGGAAAAGGTGGTGGTGCTGTTAAAAAAAAAAAAAAAAAAAAAAAAAAAAAAAAAAAAAAAAAAAAAATCCTTCTTGCCACTTCAATGCATCGACTGGCTTGTATCCCCTGCTCCACCACCACTCTAGACACAATACCATCCGTCAATCGTCATCAAGTCAATCTCTGTACAGCACCGGCCGCCTATCCCAGGCTATAGCACAATCGTGCCGGAACTGGAAACGACAATTTTTACCTTCAACACTGGCGTGTTGCCATCTTGAAGAGGGGAGGTGTAGGGGTTGTAGGGCAGGAGGGTATGGAGTTGGGAGGGAGGGGGAAACATGCGATGCATCACATCTGTAATCTGTGAGCTGTAATAGCAAACGCAGGTGTTCACATACATTGAGTTTGCTTCACAGTCGGTTTCGCTCACACACACACACACTCGCACACCCTGACAGACTGTAGAGGTTCAACCTACTGAGGAGTCGGTGAAAGTCCGATGATACTGTCTGGCACAGTCATGCTTTTTGTGTGGAGTTCTCTATGGCGAACATGACAACACAGAGAGGGAGAGAGAGAGAGAGNGGGAGAGAGAGAGAGAGAGAGAGAGAGAGAGAGAGAGAGAGAGAGAGAGAGAGAGAGAGAGAGAGAGAGAGATCATTGTTATGACCTACTTTCTGTCGAGTCACTGAAGAGGTGGTGATTTTAGTTGAGGAGCTTGGGGGTTCTTTCGCTGGCCTTATGTGGAGATGAGGAGGAGATGGATATAGATTTGTGGCTTTATTTTGTCTATGCATGGTCATCATCACCATCACCATCACCATCACCACCACCATCTCTACGACCAACACCACCTTACTGCGACCACCATATCCATCACCACCGGGACCACCATGTCCTTCTTCTTCTTCACCCCTTACCCTGGTTTGTCCATGTATGAGTGCTGGAGAGGGTGGTTTCATCTGTGTGCGCCCCCCCCCACCCCACCCCACCCCACCACCCCCCGTGGCTCCCCAGTCAGCACAGTTGATTGATTTATCCCAACTAATGGCAACTATTGAAAACTACCAGCCTTTCATGTGTCTATGTATTTGTATATGTATTTGTATATGATGAGCATATGTGTGCATGTGTCTGGGTATGTGCGCTTGTTTGTATGTGTGTATCGTGTATGATCGTTACTGCCATGCGATGTTCCTCTGGTTAGATGCACCGCCCCGCAGAGGTAATGAGGCTCACATGCAGAAGGGCGATGCTGGATGGTTCGCAAGAACGTCCAGCGTCGAGGTTGTATTTGCATTCCATGTCCTCCACGAGCGTAAAGCCGCCTAACATGGTCGGCTATTGATACTGAATGATATATATAATGAGCTTTATAGTAGTTCATAGTGGTTTATTTATACCTTGAAGGATTGAACTCCAGATTGTGAGGATAGGCTGCATGGAACAGCTCCTAAGATGTGACTGCTAAGATGTTACTGCGAAGATGTTACTGCGAAGATGTTACTGCGAAGATGTTACTGCTAAGATGTTACTGCAAGATGTTACTGTTAAGATGTTACTGCTACAATGTTACTGCTAAGATGTTACTGCTAAGATGTTACTGCTAAGTTGTTACTGTTAAGATGTTACTGCTAAGATGTTACTGTGCGTGTTTTTTCAATGTGTGTGTTGTCAGGGAAAGGAACATTGTTGATCATGTGAACAAGGTTGGACCAATCTTTCAGGAAGGAATGAAAGCCTTTGCAACCAGCCCTATCATTGGAGAGGTAATCTCATTCTCATCCTATGCTTTACCTGCACTTACCATGGGAGTGAACATCGGAAGGCTGAATGTGTAGTACCTACTACGGTCTTCACCCGAATAGAATGCCCGGTGATTATAGCCGGATTTGGCACAACTTTCGGTCCAGATGCAGAGATAACGATCGGGCGTTCTATTCGGGTGAAGACGGTAGTAAGACTTGCTGACCATGACATCCAAGGAGAAAACATTTCCGAAAGTGACTTTTACTAGTCTTTTACATGATGGAAGAATGTTAAATAGACTATGATGTTTGATGTTTGATGTTTGATGACTGCATAGTATAGTATAGTCACGGAGAAACTACTCACACGTCGATACGCAGAGTAAGTCAACACAAGTTCAAACACTCAGATAGTGGACGACATTGAGTTAACGAGGACAATCATGAGATATTACAGGTACAATCATACTTCCACTGCACCCAAGAACCACCGTTCATACCGCGAACCATCGTCAGCTACCGTAGTCGCTAACATTCCGGACTGTCAACGCTACTGGTAGCAGACCCCGTAAGAGATGGAACAGATTGCACTTGCTATTCTTGTACGGGCGTCATGACCCTACGTAGTTAACATTCCGGACTGCCAATGCTGCTGGCAGCAGACCCCGTAAGCGATCGAACAGATTGCACTTGCTATTCTTATACGGAGCGTCATGGCCCTACGTAGCGGCCAGTACGAAACGACAAGTGCGACCAAAAAATAGGTCCCGTTACGGGGTCAGCAAGTCCCGGTAGGGTACCATCCCATGCCTTCGTCAATAACCCTGGTACCAAAAACGAAACTGACAGCATGCCTAACTAAGCGAATCACAACTAAGCTGAACTTACCGTGTCGCAATATTCACCCAACCAAAAGGTTCAGGTACCTGCTGCTAAAGTACCTACTCGTTAGAGTCGTTACATCACATCTAAAATTATGATGCCTGAAGTTACAAAAACAAAAAAGGTAGAGCAAAAAATTATGATGACTGTTCTTTGTTTTGTACGTTACTTTGGTCGAGGCCGTGTACCCTTTTTTTTTTCTTTTTTTCTTCCCCCTTCCTCTCCTTTTTTTTTTTTTTTGGGGGGGGGGGGGGGGGGGGGGGGATTAAAATATTTTTTTTTTTTTTCTTTTTTTTTTTTTTTTTTTTTTTTTTTTTTTTTTTTTTTTTTTTTTTTTTTTTTTTTTTTTTTTTTTAATTTATTTTTTTTTTGGGGGGGGGCATGCTGGGAATGCCGTTATCTGTCCTCCTGACTCTGCTAACTAAGAGTGTATGGTTCTCGCAGGCAGACAGCAAGGGTACCAATGCAGACTATAACGATAGCAAATTTTGCATAAATAATGCTTTGCTTTTTTTTTTTTTTAAATGACAAATGTTTTTTGCAGGTTCGCGGGACAGCGTTGATCCTGGCTGTTGAGTTTGTCCTCGACAAAGAGCACAAGACTCCTTTCCCATCACAATGGGGTGAGTGCGGATGACATTTTGCGTAGCCCTTTCCACTTATATGCATGTAAAAGTTTCTCCAGAGCAGGCTGAGGAGAGTGTAGCCTGTCTGTACATCTGTCCCTGCCCATGTGCCTGCCTCTCTGCCGGTTCCTATTACTCTCTATCTATTAATCAGGCAGACTTATCGGTTAGACCACCTGCGTGCCTCCCTGCCTCTCTGCCTTTTTACCTCCCGATCATTCTTTTTCTGTGTCCGTGGACCTCTCTTTTTTATTTATTTATTTATTTATTTTTTTTTGGGGGGGGTGGAGCGCATTTCTCGATTTATGTGGGTCATCCTTGTGCAGGGGCCATGCCAGTGTTCTCTGCATCGTTCCAATTTCGCCAGATGCCCCGTGTGTGTGTGTACCTGTTGTTTTTGTTCCAGGTCTTATCTGCTGGCCCATCTGCCCGGCTGGTTGATTGGTCAGCCAATTGGTCAGTTGAGTGGCCAGTCAGGTGCCCGCTCAGGGGCTGGGCGGGTGGTCGTGCAGGTAGCTGGGTGGCTGGCTGGCCAGTCAGTGAAGTGGTTGGTTGGGCTGCCAGGTGCTGTCGACCGATCAGTCGGCTGCGCGAGCCACCACCGGCAGACCGGTCAGTTGGCTCGTCAGTAGGTCGGTTGGTCAACCGCCCGGTCAGCTGGTCAGTTGGCCGGTCAGCCGTCTGTAGCCGGTCCGGTCAGTCAGTCAGTCGTTCGGGCAGACTTGTCAGTTTTCCTGTCCATCCGTCTGTCCCCAGACTCCGCACTTGTCATTCTGTACTTCGTCTATCTGGCCGTCTGTTCATCCTTCATTCTGTCTCTTCGTCTGTGCCCGTCTCTATGTCTCTCGCAATGTGGTTGCACAGCGACATTGTGCATCGCTCCACTACTCTCGACATGCCCAAAGGCAAAAATCATGGCAGTGTATCTTTCCATGTTCTAGCAGAAGATTCACGCTCGTCTTGCACATTTCCAGAGTGGTGGAGCGAGGCCCATTGAGTGGCTGGCTCAACACCGAGTCGACGACCCTCCAAGACGGATGTGGTTTACTACCGAGTATTTACACAACCAATTCAAATTTCCCAGGAAACTTATCAGTCCGCTGGTTCTTTTTTTTTCTTTTTTTTTTTTTTTCCTCCTCTAATATTGACATCAAGTCCGCTGGTTCTTACTCTCAGGAATATGGCGAATATGGTGAAGGTGCATAGTCTTACCCCATCCAACTAGAACGCCCGGTCATTTATAGCTGTATTTGGTGCAAATTTCAGTCTAGATACGTCCATCATGACAGGTGTTCTATTCGGGTGAAGACGGTCGCGCTCACTGGCATGAGTGCTAGTATATATATGATAGCCTAGCCCAGGAAGTAGTAGCCATGCATGCCTGTTAGGAATTTCCCAAACTTCAACTTCTTCCCATGAGCATCACTCAGGCAAACTGAACTGACGACAAAATCGCAAAAAATCTCACTCGGTAGAAGGTTTATACCAAAATCTTATATTGAAAAAATCACACCAGCATACTTTATAAATACAAGAAAAGGTGATGTGCACTTGGGTGCCAGGCTGCACCGAGGAGCTTGCAACATTAAACGGCACTCAAAACCGTATGACGGTACAGAACAGAGAGCCAGAAGACACTGGCTATGGCTGCGTCCAGATTCTCGCCATCAGCTTCCAAAAATGAGCACTGCGCCCTCTTCTCGCCAAAAAAAGCAACAGACTAACTCACAACAACTTTTTCTTTCCAACTTTTTGTTTCCAACTTTCAAAAGTTGTTAATGGAACCTTCTGCTTCTATCTGTTGTGATGAGATTCATGAGAATGATGTGTCCGACTCTTTTGTCTTTCTTGCACTCATCCTTCATATGGCTCGTACCTAAGTTCTTCTTTCTTTTTTTCTTTTTCTTTTCTTTTCTTTTTTCTTTTTTGTTTCTCTCATACCTAAGTTCTTAAAGGTGACTGTAGGGAATATGGTGAAGGCACATAGTCTTTTACCCCATCCCTCCTCAGTAATGGTGAAGGTCGAGGTTCCAAGGGTTCGAACCCTTGTTCGCCGATGAAAAGTGGCAAACTCGTTGCCGTGTCAGACGAGTAATGTCTCTGACCTTACTACATCGCCACTCTACAAAAATCAGGAAGTGAAACTATATATGACCTTATTGTCGTGTGTGACGTGTGTCAGACGAATCCTTGTGCCAGTTTTGACTACCTTCTTCCCCCGAAGATAACACATTCGCGGTGTAAGCGAATACAACGCAGAGGGTGCGAATACAACGCATAGAGTACGTTGTATTCGAATATAACACACGTGTTCTATTCGAATATCCCTAAATTTCGAATAGAACGCATATGCGTTCTATTCGATTTTTTTTCCAAATTTTGAAACTCGAATACAACGCATATGCATTATGTTCGGGGGAAGAAGGTAGGGCCTACAGGGTCCTACCGCGCTCTGGCCTAGCGAATTCTAGATGTCTAGGTCCTACAGGGCCCTGTGTCCAAGACCAGCTAACAGCAATTCCAACTTGAGGTCCCAGACTCCCAGGTTCTAGTCTGACTGGCATCCCGGGTTCGAGTCCGACTGCCAGCGCGCTTGAAAAGCATAATAAAAACTTGTTTCACACTTGGTCAGGTCCCGGGCTTAGGCGCCCCTGAGCCCAACAATACCCTAAACGCTATACCCAAAAGCCTAAGCCCTAAACCCTAAACCCTTAGCCTCAAGCCCTTAACCCTAAACCCTAAGCCCTGAAAATACTAAACCGTAAGTCCTCAGCCCCTTACCCTAAACCCTTAACCGTAAACCCTAATCCATAATCCTTAAACCCTTAGCTCTAATCCCTAATCCCTAAACCCTAAACCCTTAATCGAAACCCTAAACCCTGATTCCTAAACCCCACCGGAGTTGAGTGGTACTACTCGGTTGTTGTATTTTGGTGGATTGGAGGCGAGAATACGGCGTTCGTTATCAAGAGACTTCAGTCTTCTCTGTGCTCTTGCATTGGTGTGAGGCTGTGAGCTTGGTTTTGTCAATTCTGCTTTCGGCTGGGGCAACTCAGGCATGCATCCTCTTCAATGCGTTCGTGTTGGTCCGAAGGTTTTTTTAACTCTTTTTATTATCACATGCTGCTACCTTGCATAATGCCTGCAAATGAACCTATATGCTTCTTGAAATCCTCCATATCCTTGCACCACCGCTACCCGGTCTACCACCTGTGAGTGACGAGTTCTGATTCACCCGTTTTGACTGTTGTCTTCCTCCTTGTTTGGTGGTCCTGCTGGATCATGATCATGATCATAATGAGCAGGTGTGGCCACGTATTTAGCAGGGCGCTGCGCCTACCATGGGATGCTGATCAGAGTCTCTGGAGATCAGATCATGATGTCACCGCCACTTGTCATCACCGAGGAGGAAGCGAAAGAAGTACGTTGTCTGTTTATACCATATCCCAATTGAACGTAGAATTGCACGACACACCGATTGTTGAAACTTCTGCTGTGATGTATTCATGTATACTGTGAGAGACAATTGTGGATGGTGGGGTGATGCACGATACCCTGCACAAGGGTCAGCTGATGATTGTGTATTGGGGTTCTACTCTCCTGGTGGAAGTCGTGGTCTGTTGCGTCTTGTCGTGAATCCATCAAATCAAATGATGTGTTCCATGCTTTCTACTCTCCAGGCAAAAGCTGCAACATTTGAAAAATGAAGCAGAAAAATGGGTTGCAAATGTCTCCATTGCTTTGCGGTAATGAAAGCTGAACCGTGAAATCAATGTGCATCCTGAATGGCAAGAGAAAATGGTGTTTTCCACCAACCCGGGATGGTGCTCGACTTGGTTTTGTGTGAACAAGGAAGATGTACTGAAGAAAAAGAGGGCGATGATCACCTCCTCCCCAAGTTAACCTCTTGTCCTGTGTCTATCAATGAAAGTGTTGAACCTACTCTATCCTCTCTCTCTCTCTCTCTCTCTCTCTCTCTCTCTCTCTCTCTCTCTCTCTCTCTCTCTCTCTCTCTCTCTCTCT